GTCAGCTATGTGTCAATTCCAACTGGATGGTACCTAACAATAGCAAAAAAGTAGGCAATAACACTTAGGAGCACACATTCATACTGCTGCATTTGACTCCTATCACTTAATTTAATGTTTCCTTGGAAATATCATTTGGCATTCTTGCTTCCAAGACTACAAAGAAAAGGAGAAACAACAGTAGTGTCAAAAAAGGCCGAGGCCACATGCAGCCTATTTGCTGCATGAACTGGGTCCACTGCATACCCAAAGACAAGGCAGTTAAGAAGCTCCTAATCGAAATAATGCTGCTGTCAGGACATTTCCGAAGCCAGTGTCTCTGAGGCATATGTGCTTCCAAATCTCTGCCGAAACTGCACTGTTGTGTGAGTTGTGCCATTCACAGCAAGGTGGTGAAGGACTGTTCTCCCGAAGCCCCAGAAGGACAGAACACCTCCACTTAGATTTAGACCAGCAGGTGCTACTCCAAGACCTCCACCAAAGCCCATGGAAGGATTTGATTCCTTAAAAGCTGAAGAAAAAGCTTGTCTGAAAATAAAATGGAAATTATACTTTGAAAAATAATAGAAGATAGGAATAGTGATAATAGAATCTTTTTAAGGAACAACAAGAAAACAACATGCTTTAAAATGGTACCTGATGAAGAGTATATATTTAACTTAGCAAATAATTCTTATTATAGTTTTATATATCAAGACATAATAGAGGGATCATATTAAAATTGTGATGTAATTATAACATGAAAAAGACTTCTTTCACACAATATGGGGCAGAGAATCTAATGTTTCAAGTATTCTCTGACAGAAGTCTTTTAAAAAATAAAGTGTTGTTATATGCTCTCCTTTCTACCCCACACAAATCATAATCTCTTGGTGAAGTAACAGTTAACTGTGCGACTGCTAACTTTGAGGTTAACAGTTCAAATCCAGCTGCTTCTCTATGAGAAAAAAGACCAAGTGATCTGCTCGCATAAAGATTGCAAGGCTAGGAGACCCTCTGAGGCTTTTCTGCCTACAGAGTCCTATAGAGTCATTATGAGACAGAATCAGTTCCACAAAAGTGGGTTTGGGCTTTCATCTGATCCTGCTCTGTTATTTATTTCTTGTGAGGAAAAAAACCTCTTTTCATGATAATTGTTGGTTAAACTTTACTAGACTATTTTCAGACTTCTTAGATAATGTAGATCTGTAACAAAGTCAAAGGAAGAAATCACAGTTCTGTTGCATCTGTCAGAGTGCTGTCAAGAATACTCAAAACTATTTTCTGTTGACGTGTCTATAGTTCTGAGAAATTGACTGTAACATATAGTTTAAAGACAAAGTTTAGGAAGGCCCAGGATACTAGTACCTTTTAGCTCTAAGTGGTCACTTAAAGTTATTCCACTACATTGCCAGGTAAAAGTGGTTTACAGCTGTCAGACGGTATGAAACTGTTGCTTGAACTGTTTATATTTATTTTACAGTTTAAGAATTTGTAAGCTGTCACAGAAGGAGAAAAATTGTGAGCCTTAACATTGCCTTTCAAGGCCCTGCAGACACATTGCAAGCAAAATGTGGTGACTCAACTGTCTCACTAAGTTGCCCGCAGAGATCTTCTTCAGGCCCAAGGCCCTTCAGGTCAACCGAGATTGCTGAATGAAAGTGAAGAGGACTTGAAATATTTGCTGCAGAAGATTAAGGACTACAGTCTCACCTCTTCATCAAGAAAAGAAAGGTCCTCACCACTAGACCAATAGGCAACATCATTATAGATGGTTAAAGGATTGAAGTTGTCAGTGATTTCATTTTTCAACAATGAACCTTTGGTGCCAGCAGCCAGGATATCAGGAGACCCATAGTATTGGGAAAGTCTGCTGTCAGAGATCTCTCCAAAATACTGAAGAGCAATGATGTCATGCTGGAGACTAAGGTGCTCTTGATTCACTCCACAGTCTTTTCAAACACTTCATATGCGTCTGAGAGCTGAAAAATGAAGAAGAGTGATAGCAAAAAGACTGAGTGGAGGGATTGTAAAACAATGAAAGAATTTTTATTTTACTTTTCAGTGAGGGTATTATACTAGGGAGGAGGATTGGGAGGGGAGAAAAGTGCAACAATGAATGAATGGAAATCCAAAGTCTCTGTAAATTTCCATTGAAATTAATAATGTTGTTGTTGTTGTT